TATATATATATATATATAGTATTATAGAGCAAGTGGAAATGAATTTTGTACAACTCTTTCGAAATATGGCAAAAAAACGTTATAAGAGTTGTCAGCAGTGAAAATCGTTGTCGTTCTAATGTAAAAGTTAAAATATCTGACTTAGGATATTTCAGGATTCATAAATGTGCTATGTCATCGTAAGTGTGCAGTCGTTCTCTGAATCGAATAGTGGCAAAATACAAATCTAACACCGTTTTGAACTGTTGCACAGATGTTGCCTCAATCACATGTTCAGGCAAACTGTTCCAAATATTTACCACTCACCGTTCGAAGCACAGTGGGTGGGGAACACATCTCACATCCGACATGGCAAGTTTGTATCTATGTCCGCGTGTGCTGCATGGCCCTCCTAAGTGCAGCATTGGCCTTAGTATGGTGAATTCACCGAGATGTAGAATACGGCAAGTCATAATGAGGTCGACTCGCACCCGACGGTAGGACAAGGTGTAGAGTCTTACTTTCTCGCACCGGTCTTCATACTCAAAGCCACGTAAACTCGGGATCAGCCTGGTAGCAATGTGTTGGACCCGTTCGATCTTTTGTGCTTCGTCTCGGGTAATTGCAAAGTAGGGGGCGAATCGTACTCTAGCATTGGTCTAATGAGAGAAGAGAAGAGGCGAGAGGCAACCACTTCAGACCATGTCCTGAAGCTACGACTGACTGCCCAAAGCATGCATAGTCAGTTACGATATAGCATGTTAGTGTTGTCCACGGACTTCAAATCGTAGCGCAAGCGTACACCTAGGTCCTTCACGGAGAGTGTAGGATATAGCGTTTGGCCGTCAAGAGTGTAGGTTCGGCCGTTAGCACCCTTCCCCAGGCTCATAAATACAGACTTGGCTAGGTTGATCGGGAGAAGAACTTCTGCAGACCATGTGGACAGGTGGTTTAGGTCTTGCTGTAGTAGGCCACAGTCATCGGGAGCGTCCATTTCTCTCCAGATCTTCATGTCGTCCGCAAACAAGGCACACAGCGATCGGAGAACCTGAGGTAGATCGTTGATGTGGATCAGGAATAGAGTGGGCCCCAGCACAGTGCCTTGAGGCACGCCACTTGTAGAGGGGTACCAGTCAGTTAGATGGTCGTCGACCTGTACCCTCCACTTTCGTCCAACAAGAAAATCGCGGATCCACCGGCGCAGTGGGCCAGCGACATCACACATTCTGAGTTCGTGAAGGAGAACCTCATGACTGACCTTGTCGAACGCTTTACTGAAATCGATGCATATCACGTCGACGGACTTCCCCTTGCTTATTGCCTTCAACCACTCATGCCTCGTCATAAGCAGGTTCGTAATGCATGAGCGACCTTGCATAAAACCGTGCCGTGCGGGCGTCAGAACCTCGTTTGACTGTAGCAACTGCCGCAATCCCTTCTTCACGATTTACTCAACAACCTTTGCCAAAATAGGTGTCAGACAAATTGGCTTGTAATTGTCTACTTTGCTAGGGTCGCCGCCTTTCGGCATGTAGACGCTTGCAAGAGTTTTTCCTTCAAAGTTCTAAACAACCCTATCCATGCACTGCATGGAGCCCTGTCGAAAGTGCTACCTTTTGATTCCATACGCACTAAATTTAAGCTCTTAGTTTCATGTACGGATTCTCACCACAATTCCATCGTACCGTATTTGTCACAAATACTTGTGAACTCAGCGGAACTCATCAACATGGTGCGTAGTTGTGTGCTTGAGTGATACGCAAACATTTTGGATTAGACAATTTATCTGCTTTTATCTATTACTCTCATGCGTCTTTCCATTTCGCAGTGATAGTGTAAAAATATGAAAATGTATTTACGCGGATGCATAAATCCTATTTCGACTTGACTCCAAAGGATGCAAAGTATAAACATACTACTTTCATGATCACTGCGCAGACCTTGTTTTAGTTCTCGGAAGGCCACACGACACTAAGGTTTAGGGGTTACACAGCATGGAGCTTGAATGTAAGTTCCTTAAAGGATCTCATTGTTAATGGTCATGTAAAGTTATAACATCGAAGCTTCATTAGAGTGCGTGGACAACAACAGAAGAGGACGTGTTTGTCGCTAAAGTGAATACCCGTGCTGACCGCAGCTCAAAAGCGCCAAGTGCAAATTCAGTTGGCAAATACTAGACATCGTCCGAGTGGCCAGAAATACCTAGTGATCACCGTTGATGGTACGTTTATAGAGCGGTACGTTTATACGGAGCGAGGGCAAGGTGCCAGCGTGTCGGATCGATACTGACAATTGCTTCCTCCAACTGTGTACTGGTCGCGATCATCACAGCGACTTCCGGCGTGAATGTTTACAACTCGCTAAGTTTTACCATGTCAGCTGACCGGAAGCACACAGCATCAAGGAGTTCTACGATAGCGTTCACTCTCCTAGCCTCAGTGAATCGCATAAATGTCACGTGAATGCAGAGACCGTCAAAGGATGAAGAAAACTCAAAGAATGGCCTGCCAATGACAAAGTGTGAGTTGCAGATTTGGATCGCCGCGAATGGGTCATTAGGAAGGTCTCGGTAACCATGTGGCCACATAGCTTGATTTATTAGGGTGGCAGATGCATTTCTAAAGCTTTTATTCGATTGATTAAAGTATGGAAGATGCAGAGCATCTTTAGTAATAAATTGTAGCCTGGAAAGAAAACTCACAGTCAATCAGAAGCGTCGGTTGGTAGCAAAGGTCAATAGAGTAAAATAAGATGATGCTAGCAGTGGGGGGCTGAACACTGCACCAGTTTGTTAGAAGTAGAGGCTAAGAAGTACCCGTGGAAGGAATGGAAACTGAAAAAATACGAAAACTGCTTTCAGATCCCACGACTAGGACATAATGCTGCAAAAAACGCATGGATCTAATAAAGTAGAATTTATGGATACGTTTAAACTCGTAAAGTTGCGTCGTGTCTTATTCGCAGCCGATAGAGTAGATTAGCAGCAAGCGGACACAACCATGGCTTCAATCTGTTCGTGTTATCCGAAGAAGTTTATAAATCGTTTATTTGAAACAATTAGTTTCCTTGAGCATTTTAAACAACACCGTGAGAAGACGAAAGCTGGCAGATGTTAACATTTTGTAGTTCCGTCCGTGCCAACACAATAACAGGAAAATATTACCCCTACAGCTAGGGTGTGACCATAGAAAATAGAGACAGGGTGGGGTACAGATTTGCCACCCCTACGTCCATGGAAGGCTTAAGCTTACGAACAGCTGTTTTTGCACACAGAGCGCCGGTTCGATCCTGCTGATCGCGACAGCCTCGGTGAAATGCAGGATGCGGGCGTTAGCATGTCTCAACAAGATTGTGAACCATATAGTACGGTTGAATGGATGACAAGTAGGCAATAAGTGTCTATCTATGGATGAGGCAGGTGGCTTTCGTGAACAGGTGGTAGAGGAAGCGGAAGACTGGATAATTCCACGCTGCACCCACTTAGGTACATGTTCCCTTACTCTGGAATGTGACGTTCTCTCGGTACGGCCTATGGTAGCGTGACTCGCAGCTACAGGTGAATTGGTAAATGCAGTGTGAAATGGTGACGAAAAGTTGTCTTTCCTTCGTTGAGGGAACAGGCACTTTGTTGGTTCGGTTAATAAGGACATCCTCGACAGCACAATAAGTCCTATGAACAGCGGAAATTTTTCGCTTGGCTGTCCTTATGATGGCAAAATCACCTTTAAACGGTAGTTATATAAACATCTTTTTGGCCACAGTGGAGACCTTCTCTCTCGGCACTCTCGTCTGGCTATGTTTTGAGTAAAACCGGCGAGGATAACTGTTTTTCAAGAGCGCATTGGTCAACAGCTCCTGTTCCTCTTTCAGACAATCGGGGTTGCATATGCTTCTTGCGCGATTGAACAAGGTCTTGACTAGTGTCCGCTTGTACCACATTGAAGTGAAGCTGGTAAAATGCAGGTACTGCCCGGCCATGTCGGTTTTCGGTGAAAAGATCGCTTGATGAGACCGTTTTTTCTACGACTAATCAGTACGTCCAAAAATGGAAGACAGTTGTTACATTCTACTTCGCTGGTCACTATAGTAAAAATGAGTATGTGTTGAACCTGTCAAACGCTCCGTTGGATAAATTGAAATTGGAGGCATGATGCTGACAGGAATGAGGCGGAATTCGGACATAGAGTAAACAGGGCAGTGAAACGCCACACTAGACAGTGTCGGTGAAGAACGAAGTACAAACATGGGTTGGGCATGCGTAAATGTTTGGATAAAGAGGAAACTAGGATTACGCTACTGTGCTAGTCTTCAAACAAGGTACACGAAGGTAGGTGACTCAGTGGTAGGAAATCGTGAAGCAAAAGAAGGAGTAAAGCAAGGTGCGTAGGTAAACTCCATCACTACTAAACCAGTTGTGAGAGCGATGTAATCGATAGCTCATGGGAGATAGTGCTCAAAATGCAAGTTCGTTAACAGGTCATCGCCAGTAACCGCGTCGTAGGTAAACCACAGTCACAAAGCCAAGAGGAAGTATAGGAAACGAATTTGACGTATGCGTCTCGGAGAATGTAGTGATGTTAAGACGATGCGTGAGAGATGGATGAGAGAAGAGCAAAATGTTGACAACTAACGGTAGATGGTCACCATACACAGGGCCATCCGAGGCGAACCGTAAACCAATACCGACTAAACACCAGATTAGAACCATGGCGTTTAAGCAAACGAAACAGTGTAGATTCCCTAATGACAAAAAGGGACGTGGTAAGCCAAAAAAGATACGGAGAGATTGGCGCTGTAGTAATGGAAATGATGGAATGACACACAAATGCGCCAAACTATCTATGAGTATCAAGATGTAATAAAAAGTACCTTAAACCATGAAATGTCCAACTCAACGTGCGACATAGTGTGCGACAATGCACAGGAAAGATGGAGGCAATTCGAAAATATGATATATGTAGGTAAAAACAAAAAATGAAAACTAACAGGAAAAACCAAAAAGATATAATTAAGCAACTAACTCGAAGTGTTTCTCATTCACGATTCTGGCAAAATCCGGAGATTTTTGAGGATCTTTGCCTAAAAAGGTAAGCAAGGAATCCTCCAAGTGTTTGTAGAATTCACTCTGGTGAGGATCGGGAGAGGGGAAAATGAAAAATGGGAAATGAAATAATCGAAGACCTAGACCAAATCAGCATAGCCGACAAGGTTATGTGCTCAGTGGACGCCCAATCGTTATTTACTAATGTCCCCTTGCTTGAGATAGTTGATTACATTTGCCACCTGATAGAAGAAGAGAGATTCCGCCTACCAATACCGGCAGATCTCCTGAGACAGTCCTTGTTACTTTGCACGGAGAATGTCGCTTTCCGATTCGACCACAACACATATCGCCAAATTAACGGAGTAACTATGGGTAGTCCGTTGGGACCGATACTAGCTGATTTTTTCATGCTGATGCTTGAGAGAAAACTATGTGGACAGATTTCTCAGCTGCCGTATTACAAACGGTATGTAGATGATATCCTTGTATTCGGTTCCACGAAGATGCAAATCGAACAAGTAGTAGATCAACTTAATAATGTTCACGCCAACCTGAATGTGACTTTTAAATTCGAGACGAATGGGCGTCTTCCGTACCTCGACATTCTCATGAGTCGCAGGGATAATGGGCTCATTAAGCGATCTGTATCCGGAAGCCAACGTAGTCCGGCCAATATCTACACTTCACTAGCTTCTCACCGATGGCGCAGAAGCGCGCGCTGGTGAAAACGTTATTCACTCGGGCCAGACGTATCTGCTCCAATGACTGCCTGCCTGAGGAGTTTGAGCTGATCACTAAGACACTTATGGAGAATGGCTACCCAAAGCGATTCATAGACAAACATAGCCAAGTTAAACCGCCCAAGGAGATGGTGTTGACAGCCCCTAAGAAGAAGGTGTACATTGAGCTACCATTCAAGGGTGACACCGCAGCAAAAAGGATAACCAAACGCATTGTCTCAGCCATTCAGCGTACATACTGTGCTGCGGAGGCGGTAATTATCAACAAAACCCGAAAGTTGCCGTTACCTTCAGTAAAGGAAGATGAACCCGTCGGCGCCAAATCACATTGTGTTTACCAATTCGTGTGTGACTGCGGTATCAGTTACATCGGCAGGACCGAACGGGTTTTAGATTCCCGAGTGAAGGAACACTTACCAAACTGGGTTCAGCGCGAAGTTACCCAATCCACCTCCGATGATACGTGTTCGTGTAAGCCGCCAGCGTCCTCCATAGGCAGACACATCTTGGCGACTCGTCACCGAATTAACCCCTTATGAGCTTTCCGGATCTTGTTAGGTCAGACTAATGCACGCCTTTTACGATTTGCCGAGGCCGTCGCGATAAGCCGAATTAGACCAGCTTTGGGTGTCCAAAAGCAATTAGTTGTCAACCTGCGGATGCCGTGGACCTAATCTAACAACATTGACCCCAACCATAAATTTGATTGGTTTGCCTGTGCATTGTAAAACATATAAAAGGATTTCCCTGTTATTGTATTGGTACTGACGAGGTAATACGAAATGCTAGCATCTGCCAATATTCGTCTTCTCATTTCGTTGTTCAAATATGTGATGGACACTGGATGACGAAGAAGAAGTGCATATCGTGATCGCGCGATTCAGCTGAGGGTGTGAAACAAGCTAAGGGGAAGGTGGGGGGCAACCGGCAAATGAGGATGAGTGGCTATTGGAGAAAGATGTTGGCGATGTTGGCAATACAAGGCGACCTACTGCAGGACGGATAAGTCTCTTTAGATATGTATAGGATTAAAACCCATAAATATTGGTGAAAAATTTTCAACCCTGAAGTCATCCCATTGTAGATGCTGCTCTACAAGGGTGGCTACTATAACCACCTCGGCATAGCTCACAGGGGAACGACAAGTCAGCCAGGATCCAAAGCACAAGTATAGGAGGCTAAGCAAACAAATGGTGTATGAAATGAAAGAAAAGTATGCATATATATATATATATATATATATATATATATATATATATATATATATATATATATATATATATATATATATATATATATATATATATATATATATATATAGTGGATTCCGGTTAATAGGACCAGCCGGTTATTCGGGCCAAATTCTGAAGAACCGAAACGGATCCTATTACGCTAGCCTAATTTTAGCCGCTTATTAGGACCGGAATTCCGCTTAATCGAACCAGACGATAGAAGGTGGCAGGTAACAGAGGTGTTAAAATCAAGTTCTATGCCTGGATGTCTGGACTAAACCCACAGTTCATATGTCGGGCAAGAAAGCGGATCATTTAGTTACGGTAATCCGAGTTTGCCTTTGGATAAACTGAACTGTGGCAACTTTGAGGCACATCTATATCATTGGCTTCAGAACCGCCCGAAACTGACTGTAGTTTCCAACACTTGTAGACGGAGCGAAGACATATATGCTTGTTCACATGTCGTTAACCGCTCGATCGATGTACCGCACGTCCATTGAGCCGAATGCCCTGAGCCCGCATTGCGGGCCTACTCTCGAGCACGGCAAGTGATCGCGGACACACAGGTCCGGCAAATCATAGGACAGCAGGTGGCTAGGTCAACCATAGAAATACCCGGGAGACAGACTCGAGTTCACCTCAGTGAACTGTGCGTGTCTTGTTGCATGTTAAGAAAATGCCACGACGGGACTTGACGTTAGCTGAGAAAATACGTTTCCTAGATCAGATCAAGGAACAGGGACCAACCACTAGTCAGCGTCGATTGGTGGAAATTACCTGCTTGGCAAAATCCACAACATCGCGCCTGATAAAACAAGAGAAAGATCTGCGAGAAGAATGGGCACAATGTGAAGGACGACGAGGTACTTCCCAAAAACAGAAGCGTGAAGGCAAGGATCCAGACGTCGATGAGGCCCTTAATGATTGTTACTGGACGAGCCGTGCGAGTAAGTGGCCCAAAGTTAAAGTACAAAGCAGAAGAACTCGCTAAAATGCTGGGCCACGAAGATTTTCTAGCTACGGACGGCTGGTTGTCTCGATGGAAATCTAGACATGATGTAAAATTTAAGAAAGCACATGGTGAGAAAGAAAGTGCCAATAGCGCTCGAGCTGAAGAATGGAAATAAACAAAATTACCAGAGCTTCATTAAAAATTTCCAGCAGATGACATCCATAATGTTGATGAAACCGGGTTGCACTATAGGGCTACACCGGACGGCTCCTTATGTTACAAACATGTTACTCTCTCTGGCTGCAAAAAAGCAATGGATCGCGTATCTGTCTTGTGCTGCTCAAACATGTCCGGAACAGACAAGAGGAAGTTGCTGGTTATAGGAAAATGTGCCAAGCCTCGCTGCTTTAAAGGACTCAGAATGGACAGTTTACCAGTTGTGTATCCTGCGAACAAAAATGCATGGATGAGCTCTACACTTTTTAAAGAATGGGTGAAAGGTCGGGACACAGAGCTACAACGGCAGTCGAGAAATGTGTTATTACTTCTCGACAATTGTGCAGCACATTCAAATTTGGAGTTCTTGTAGAATATCCAGATGGAATTTCTGCCTCCCAAGACCACATCTTTGATACAGGCAATGGACATGGGCATCATAAAAAATTTGAAGACCTTTTATCGTTCAAGGTTGGTGAATTACATCCTTGAATCAATTGAGGAAGGCTTGCTGATCTCATCCTCGACGGCCGGAAAAATCAGTGCAAAGGTCAACATTTTGCAAGCCGTTACATTCGTGGCCAAAAGTTGGCGAAAAATGAGCAGTGCGACAATTCGGAACTGTTTTTCTCACTGTGGCTTTAAGCATATTGTCTCGGAGATGGATGTGGATATGGTGATCGTAAATGAAAATGACGGCGAGAATGTGGAGCTGAAACAAGTTGAAAATTACGAAGAATTTTTGTCAATCGACAACGAACTTAAACTCTGTGATGGAAATGAAGAATGCGATGCTGCCATTGTTGCTCGAATAGTAGCGAAACACACGACAGCAACAGAAGACCATGGAAGTGATGAAGAGAACCCTAACGTGTTGATGCCAGTCACAAAACGGGATGCAAGGAAATGCATTGAAACATTGCACCGCTATTTCATGCAGGAAGGAAATGAAGGTAGTCCTATTACTGCGTTACATGTTTGTGGTGATTTTGTGCGAATGCAGTCTGTTAAAAGAATGCGTCAAACCACACTGGATACGGTCTTCAAACGCTGAATGAAATTCGGTAATCCCTTTGTATAAAACTGTACTTCGCATGCTGAATATCTTGTAGGTCGTTACGAAGAATTTGTTTGTAAATTTCTTTTTCAGTGAACAAAGTTCGTTATCAAAGCAGTTCTTTTTGTGTGTTTGCTATAAATATATGCCGCCAATACAGGTCATAATAGTAGTTTCCTATGTTATGTATAGCACGTCCCATCTTGTTACATCGGGTAACTTCGGTTAATCGGACCAGCCGCTTAATAGGACCAAAATGGTCTGGTCCCGATGTGGTCCGATTAACCGAAATCCACTATATATATATATATATATATATATATATATATATATATATATATATATATATATATATATATATATATATATATGCCCCATGCTGAGGCTGACGTTGCATTCATGATGCGTCTTCACTGCAGTTGGTTTAACCAACTTACACGCAAACTAGGTCCATTTAATGTGGATAAAATTCGTTACATTTTATTTGGTTTGTGCTGCGTACTTCATAACCTTCTCCCAACTTGCACACGTCGCTCATGCGAATGGGGTAAACTTGCGTAATTGTATCGCGTGGTATCTTTTAAGTAACTTTCTGACATTTTGTACTTATCACGGATTCACTTATACCCAATTTCTTCTATATGCTCATTTAGCGAGTATTTATGTCGTCATATGCGTTTAGTTTATTCGATATCGGCATTTTGAGTGATTGGCTGTTGTTTGACATCCCAGGTGTGGCTGCGCTTGATGTGCGTGTTGACAAGGTGCCAATCTGTCTATTACCCACCACGTCATCTATACTGGCTCTAGGAGACAGTTGGTCGTTGCTGGAGGGGACGGGGTGCACAGTCTTTGTGGTCGTGCTACGCTCGAAGAGTGGTTCCATGCAGTCAGTGTGGAGCGGACAACCGTCCAGCCACCGCCTTGAGTGCACTTGATTACCCAAATACAGCGTGCTTGTGTTTGCCTGTGAAGGAATGTGGGCCGTCCCAGTTGATGAAACCTGGCTCCCATCCGCATGCCTCCCGGCCTTATTCCTTCGGGTTTACACTGGATATGGGGTGCATGGATGGAGCTGTGGGTGGTGCAGCGCAAACCATCCATGGTCCATCTGTAGGCGCAGGCGTCCTGTGGCTGGCCACAGTGACGGGCAAATCCGAAACCGGGTGCCGCCACACACATATATATATATATATATATATATTTATATGAATAAATGCTGAAAGGATTGATGAAGTTTGGCAAACGATGTCGCTTCCTACTCCAGCTTGACAGTTAGACTTAAGAGTAGAAACAACAGTAGCTAGCGTTGATTCAAATGTCACGAATATTGTGTTGAAATTAACAGAGTGATAGAGATAATAATCGTTTGCTGAAGAGAAAGACAGGTCAGTTAACAGCATGTCAGAGTCATGTGGTGATGCCAAGAAGTGTGATGAACGATAAAGTAATGTTGTTGAAGGACAGCCGGCCTCCCCAAACGAGCATGAACCCTTGTCTATTGTCGCCGATGAGCCTTTTGGTGACAGTTGCCAAATGGACCTGCTTAAGGTGGAACTTGAGTAACTTGATAGTAATCCAGTCAAGTATTGGAAGTGCATGAAGCAGTTTGAGCACTTGCTCGAGAAACGTGTGCATTTATGTGGGCAGTGACTCACAGTTGTTATATTACTGAGGAAATTGGACGCTTATCGATGGGTCACTGAAGGATCTAAGTCCACTTGCTCAAGATGCTGATGCCATTTCTAGTCCTACCTTAAAGATGGAGAATTATCACATAGCGCTGTTTCATATGGAGTTTCTCCCCGACCTTGATGCGATTGTGAGTACGAAAATTACATGGGCGCACAATGGATACCACTCTACAAGGTAGAAAAATCAAATGCTTTCGGAGTTTGTCTGTTCTGAAGAAAGCAATATGAGCGAAATAATAATGTGTCAGCTGTACGCCGTAACTGCACTTCGCTGCCGCGCGACCACCACCAGTCGCGCGCGGGTTGAGTATACCGCGAGGACGCCCACCCCTACGCGGATTCGAACCGGTGACCTTATGGTTGCAAAGCAAACGTGCAGACCACTCGGCCACCGGCCGATATATGATCGAAAGATTCGGACAGGTAGCATCGCTGCCTGAGGTGGGACCACCTAGCTTCCCAGGTCCGCTTATTCAAACACGTAGAAGGAATGAAGCCAGTATCAATCGCTGTACGAAGTCCAATGTCGAACCGAAACCGACTCGGATAGTTTGTGGTGACCACGTGGTGGCAATGTGCCGAGAAGTTCTAGCTTCTAAAGTGTCTGATGGATGGGGATTGATGAAGTAGAAGGAAGCATGCTACAAAGGTCTCAGCAGTGGTCACTTGGCTGGCTCTTGTTCATCAGGTAGCAGGTGAAACCAGTATGTTTGCAAAAGTCTACACCACCCATTACTACACTCGGAACGTAAGGAGGAGTCACAACAAAAAGCGAACGGCCGCTATGCTGTTTCACATTTACACAGTGTTTACGGCTTCCAGAACGACTAGAGAGAGATAAGAAATGCCACGCAAGAAATCCCAGAATGCAATTTGGCGGGGAGTGGTACCGAGGTTTTAACTAATCCGACGTGCTCCCTTCATGTTTCGTACTTCGTTTTGGTTTCGTGCTCCAACATTTTAGTTGAAAAACTATATACGATCAATTGTTCGTTTGTTCTACGAGCTTGGCGGTTTTCTCGCAAACGTTTCACCACCATGCGAGGTGGCATCCTCAGTGCAGTGATATGTAGCGTGCAAGCTTACTAAATGAATCCTCCATCCATGATCGACCTGCAGGTGACTTTGAACGTGGCAGTGTCGATTGAGGTCCCGTGACCTCTACCCACATTCCCCAAGGCTAAAGTCGGCGCCCGAGTTGTTCTGCCTCAAACCGCGTGACAAAGGGTTCTTTATTTCCTTCTGTAGTAGTGGTTCGTATATGGAATTGATGTCCATGCGCATGTTGATTGAGTGTTTCGTTGAAAACCAAGCTTCCAAGAATTCTCTTTCTTTTCTTGTTTCACCCCGTGGCAGGACTTCTGCTTTGCTCCAATCGAAGCTATGTCCTTCTTCATCGACATGTATTGAAACTACCGACGATGCTTAGTGCTTTACACAGCATTCCTTATGTTCTTGTATTCTTGTTACGTTTTCTTCCCGTCTGGCCAACATAATCCCTTTCGCAATCTCGGCAAGGTGTTTTGTATACCACATTGCGTTGTTCATGTGCCTGCAGTTTTTCTTTCGGTTTTGAAAGGGCTTTTCTCAACGTGGTAGTTGGTTTGTATGAGGATGCCACCTCGCATGGTGGTGAAACGTTTGCGACAAAACCGTCAAGCTCGGAGAACAAATGAACAATTGATTCATCAACCCGGGCTACCAGTATTTCGAAACATTTTAAACTATATCCAAATACATGCAACTCCCATACGCAGTAGCTTTACTTATTACCGCTCAGTAGATGTTCACTTTCATTCGACGATATTCACACAGCTCGAACTAGAACGTATATGCGCGCGCACCGCGAATCTTCCTCGATTGACTCACTTTTGTGACTGCAAATTAATTGATCAGGCTATCGATCCTCTCGATGTGAATCGTGTGTGATTGGATAGCTCTGTGACCGAGTAGAATTCAGTTGTCTGTACCGCACTTTTGTTTTGATTGACGGCGGGTAGAATTTTTGGACCAAGATTGTAAACCATGTGGTGGATATTATCGAGGGCAGTTGAAATTTGTTGCCATAATCCTTAGTAACAATAGCACCGTAGCGGATTCCCGGCTTGGCAATTAAGTGGACGCAGCAATTTTAGGTGTTGATGGAATCCACTGCAGAATGCTCGGTAACATCAACTGTTGAAACATATAATCTTCACGGTGGTCCGGATGAGTCTGTGCTGCGGTCATCGACCAGGTCCCTCATTCTGAACATTCCGAAATGCTGTGATGTAACATTCCCTTTTCTTCGGGCGAATAAGTCGCAAGCTGTTTCGAATGCCACTTTCTCACTAGCAGTGAGTGACCAACTCAGACCCAGGACATTGACTGTCCAATATCTCGGAGTTTTAATCCCTCAAACCTATCTTCATCTACCCATGTCGCTGAAACATTTGACAAAGTCAGATGGCTATCCCTCAATGTCCACAGACTTGGAATGCTTTCGATACCTTCTGATTTGATCTTTGAATTTCTGATTGCATGCATTCTGCCTCATTGCATTTACCGTTCCCCAGAAACCTTTCCTTGGCTGCTAAACTGATTACAGATCGTTCTCACGTTCGTTAACAATTATCTCCAGATGCAATGAACTGTCTAGAGGGGCGTTTGTTGATGTTACTGTCAGCAAGCATGTAGACGATTTTAAGAGTTTCTCCTCCAAAGTTCTAAACAACCCTATCCATGCACTGCATGGAGCCCTCTCGAAAGTGCTACCTTTTGCTTCCATACACATTAAATTTAAGCTCTTAGGTTCATGTACGGATTCTCACCACAATTCTATCGTACCGTATTTGTCACAAATACTTGTGAACTCAGCGAAACTCATCAACATGGTGCGTAGTTGTGTGCTTGAGTGATACGCAAACATTTTGGATTAGACAATTTATCTGCTTTTATCTATTACTCTCATGAGTCTTTCCATTTCGCAGTGATAGTGTAAAAAGCTGACGATTTATCTACACAAGTGTCTAAAACCTAGTTTGATGTGACTAGACAGCCAGCCAGCCAATTAAGGAGCGTCATTGCAACTGCAATCAGGACGACAGCAACAAGCATAAATCAGTGTCAATGTGACCATAAGTTAGGAGGAAGTTGATGATTTCGGGACGTTCAAAATACAGGTCGGTTTTTGTTGGTTTCATTGTGGTTACGTTTCGCTTTTGATGCTTCTTCAACTCAGGTGAATTTGCACACAATTGGCCAAGCTCTTATGACAAAACAGGATAAAGACTGCGGGGGAATAACACGAGTCAGTGGATAATAACGTTACAGATCAGAGGGTTATTCTAGTGTAACAACAAGTAGCAAACGTTCGCGATTGCTCCGCGTCACAGGTCAGTCACATACCTGGCATTCCCACTCCTAGTGCTGCTGATACGCGCTTCGACCTGGGTCCGTCCGCCGACGCCTTTCAGACTGGCCGGGCTAAGAGACAGCCCGCTACGCGTTTCATAAGTCCATCCCACTCGTTCTGTTCACGAAGTTATGGGTCTGAGTACTTTTAAGTGCATTAGCAATTAACTTCTGGCATGTTGTTCGTAATCCACTCGTAATGATTTTGACAAAGGAACTGGTTGGTAATAACAGAGTTAAATAAGACGCAAACCTGGGATGAGGAAATTGAACTAACAACTCAGATTAGAGAACAAAATGAGCCAACGAAAACAGACAACAGAGAGCCAACTGATCTTAAATAACTTTTAAGTTCGAGAATATGAGTTGTTAAGCACCGCTCAGCACTTATGTTGATTCACAACCCGTGTAGGACTTATGTCATGCGTCTAGAATAGCCACGAAGAGGAATCATGAGTGAATCCAAGATACCCAGTGAAGATGGTGGGGAAATACTTTAATTAATGGAGAAAATCGTCTTCATATGTTCCTGAGCGACAGTCCACTCGGATTTTCCTAAAATCCACTATTTGAAGGAAGGTGACACCAGTTCAACGAAGGGAGCAATCGAGAACTCTGAGAAAAAGATCTCAGGAGCAATGAAGTCGTGGAGAAAAAAATAACACGATGGTATATGACTGCAGGACCAGAAGCGAAACAAAAGAGAGTGCATTGTAAAACTTACCGCCACTGCAGAATGCAACAAGACGTAGTCTACGCCCACACAAGCCTGTCCGGCATTGTAGATCTTGCCCCAAGCGATGCGTCGAGCTGCAAGGTGAAGATCGGATTCCGCGTCCACATAAGACGGACTGAAAACGGGATGTTAAGGAAATGAATATATTTTAGGACACACGATCTATATGGTGTAAGAGAGCAGTTCATGCGCCTACATTTCAGTGCCTCGTAAACAATGGGCTGTTTTCAGTTGTGCTCATAAATGAGTGAAAACAGAAAGAAAGACGCGTGTGCAACATGTGTGTGTGTGTGTGAAAGCAAGTCCGATTAGTAATCGATTGCGGCCTAGAAAATATCCTCCGCATAAACTTATAGATGCGTAAGACGTCATGGGCTTTCCAATCATTGTTGGACGACAGGTGGCGAGAGAATAACTTCATCGGCGGAGGTAGAGTTCTAAATAAGACAATGAGAAGACTGGTATTGCGAGATGGAACCATTTCGTGGTATCTGCTCACTCGTATCTATGCTTTATGTGCAGGCGAAATACTACCCTCTTGTATAGGTCGAATTCGATGGACTGCCTTAGGAGACCACGGCCCCGAGCCTTTGGCCGAAAGGCCTAAATCACAAGGCAGCAGGGCGAAATAAGGCTTTTGCACCCGTTGGGAGCAGGTGAGTGAACATGCGGTTCATACGCCTTTCCGATGAGGAAAAGCCATACTCACGAAGTCGAAGGCAGAAACCAATGATCGGATTGCTTGCCGGTATATAATGTCTCCGAGACGACAAGGAGCAGTGACTTTAGTTAGTGGCAAGTCACATCCGCCACGCCACAGTATTGTTAAATGGACATATGTGGCTCTTTACAGGGAGAATGCTTGGTAGGCGTAAACTCACCACATCCTGGAACACTGCTGCCAAACCACTAGCCGGAACGGGAAATACCCGAACCGCCCAGCTAGCACCACGAGGTTTTTCGGCCTAGAGAACATCTTCCGCGTAAATTTACACATGCGTAAGACGTCATAAGTAGCCCGATCGAATGGGAATAAACAAGCATACACTTCCAAGAGTACAGACACTATGTATATTGGTGAAAGAGGCACTGAGTTATGAAATAATAACAGCGAAAATCTATGCTCGACAACTATCATCACTATTAGAGCCAGAGGGCTGGTCACAGCACATACAAGACAGATAGCTAAAATGCATGCGGCGAACTAAGGTAGAAAAGCTGAAACCGCGTTGTTTACAAGCAAAAAGCAGGTAAGTGGGCTTCTTCAAGAAAGCAACCTCGAGCTAAAGGCTACGGGAAAAAGTGCAGTTGGATAGTGGTAGGCGCCAAGATAAAGTAGGATAAGCTCCGGGGACTGGGTGTAATTCACCGTGTAAGAAAACAAGTTCCAGATAGGAGAATGGGGCACGGGATGCGAGGAACATGTTGAGCATACACAAATATGAGGTGGAATTGTGATAAATAACTAAAAAATAACATTGGACGAGAACGGTTAGAATGGAAAGATGTAAAACGAAAATGAATAGCACGCTCCCGTTAGTTTGCTCGATGTATTCAATGGATGAGACGAAAGTCGCGGCAGTAGCTTCCAGACGGTGGAATGTGGTGCGAGAACGTGCGCGGGGTAAGATATTACTAGAGTGCCCCAAATCGCCAGTAGAACGATGAAGATACGAATCCAATGCTGTGCGTCCAATATTTCAATGTAAACGAGTAGTGATGCGCTCGTTGTTCATGAATGTGGTGTCATTGTTGTCGTAATAGTCGGTCCTCCAGAGACAAACGATTTGTTGGTGAAAGCCACATAGGTAGTTCGTACAGCGCTTTCACATACATTGTCCGGCAAGTACCACTGAGAACGACGCAGTTCCGGTTAAACAACTATGGGCAAGTCACTCAATCAGTGGAGCTTGGTGTAGTCAATAGCCGGCGCCGTTCGGTTCGCACCTGATGGACTGCTTCTTAGGTCTGACTGACCTGTTTACTATTTATGATGCGCTAATTCCATAACAATAGTAATACCAAGCGTTACAATAGGGAATGGAAGATCGGTTTTGTAAACCTCGGATCAGTTGGACAAGTAGGCTACAGTAATGAAACTACGGGGGCCGCCGATGTAAATAGTTCAAAGAAAACCTGCAGGCGTCAAGAGTTTTGTAAGCTGACTTCAAACCAGAAGATGGAGCATAGTAGTGAAGGTAAAGAACGTGTGAAAATATTCCACACTTGGTAAAGTCCATTTCTCACAGGTAGACGCTTAGGAGTATTACTGTGGTATCATATATGTGGACACCACGGTTCTAACACAAGGGTAGGTGAGAAGTGCGCTTGAAATAATAATATGAGATGAAATGCACTAAGTACACACACCGTGCGGGGCGAGGTAGTAGAGGTGGGCCCGCTTGCCATTCAGGCATATGATGCAAGTGTTAACATGGCCAAGGGCTGAGTTACAGCGAGAAGATGCATGTGAAAGTCAAGGCCTTGCTGAGCTCCAAAAATGGAAGAAGATGGTCCAAGTGCACTCGATCATACGCATCGCTGTCATGAGCCATAGAATTCGGTTAACAAACACCACAAATGAATCGCTGCTCTGACAATGAGTGAGAACGTCGGGGAAGGATACGCGCAAGCAGCGGTCTGCTGGATATCGTTTAAAGGTAAGGTGGAAAGCGTGCGAATCTCGTGTCATAAATACGATAGAAGTAGGAATCAATAATGGGCCAGCACAGCGCGCCGGCACTTCGCTGCCATGCAACCTCCAACAGTCGCACGAGAGCAGGGTATACCTACGCGGATTCGAACCGGTGACCACTGGATTGCAACATAGGCGAGCAATCTTTGCGGCCACAGGCCGACACGAATATAAAACTGGTGCCTCCAGGTGAGTACACGCTTACTCGGACACAGCCCAGCTAAAAGAAGTGAGGAACAAGTCATGAGGGTAAAAGTTCAAAGAAAAGTGGCTGTGCCACTCACACTCAAGTCAGGCCTGCTACATGAAACACCGCCGCAGGTGGTCACGGTCCAGGTGACAGCAGTCACTTCACAGACACGAAGAGTGGACATTTACATAAGCACGAAACGTCAAAAAGTTCTCATTCGCACACAGTAAAATCATTAGTGATATAAAAGTTATCCGTATAGCATCAAAGTCTTTGTGGCGTATCAGGGCGCTATGCAGAAAGTCCTAGCTTGTGGGGCTAACTGTAGTCTTCTGCACAGTTTGTAACTGGCATGGCAGTGGAAGATGAGCCGGGCTATATCATACCCAAATGTCAATCATGTAGTTCCGCGGCTGTCACCCATGGCGAACTGGCACTTGGTGCTGGTATCCGGAAGTCATGGGGGCGGAACCCGACAGGGGTACTTTGGAAGGCGCACCACTGACGAGACCCAGGTCTAAACATCGGTGTCTCGTGCTTTTCCAGTCTAGCCAAAGTGCGCTGACTGAGAGTGGACCGTGGTGAATTATCTCTAAAAAGCAGAAGGAACTAACAAGAATAAAAAGTTGAACACAAGTACCACATAGATTTCGCGTTAGCCAGTGTGCCGCAACCGCTGACTAGGAAGCAGCATGCGAGAAATTGGAGAAAACCCCTATTGGGACTTACCACTTCCCACCCAATTCCAGAGTTACGGGTGTGAGGAAGTTGGCGGCAGCCGTGTATATAGCTCGTGCGCCAACAGTGCCGCCAGTGTAGAATATGTGATCGAACCGCAGGGCCAACAAGTTTTGGCAAACTTCCAAACCCCCGCATATAACTTGACAGACGTTCTGTAACGGAGAAATTATCAGCAAGTGAATGCATTCCGGCCCAACCGCCAATGGAATGCTTAAATCAATACAGGAAATACAAACCAAAAAGATCATTTAAATGAGATAGTTGTTCCAAATGCCGCTTAGTTCGTGAAGAGCAAAGTGGTGAGGGGAAGATTCAGTGAATACTGAAAAACTGAAAAAACTTATCACTTTAAAGGTTAACAGCTCCGCGGATAATATCATGCAAGATAATGTGCGCGACCTTCGAAGGAATTTAGCGGAACTGACCGAATTTTAGTGACCGCCATACTCCAAGTGAATACACCGAAGATCTACTCTTTGATTCTCCAAAACAACTGATGAGCAAAATGTGCTGGTAAACTAGCACGGGATTATCTGAAACATTTGAAAAGCACGGGCTGTAAAGCCTAAGCGTCATCAAACAGCTGGGACTGGTCGGACAAAATAACTATCGGTCGCACAATCAAAGTGCTTCCCAGAAATTAAAATGACATTTGCACAGCTGCATCACCAAAGAAATTTGGCTCAGATGGAAGAAATGACGAGCTAATGCGGAAATAATGGCAAAAACATATAGCTTGTACAGTAGTGCATCTAAGGAGAAGAAATTGTATTCGCAGCAACAGCCAACCGAAATACCTTACGCACCATTGACCGAGTGGTTTGTGGGGCGACACGACGCTGGTTTTGTCTTCCCAACGACACCGCCATAGCTCCTCTCCATTCTGAGAAAGAGAAAGAGGGATTTGAGGTTCCATGTTTTGCTACTGAGATCCCCTTCGCTTGGCAAGCTTATCAGACAAGCGGTTCAGTTATTGGTCTAAATTAAATCACCTGCGGTTGATCTTCGTAGCGTTAATCTGCTCGTGAGAGTTGGTAGAGAACTGATCTACTCAAAAGCCAAAATCCTTGATGCCTGCCTTCAATCGTTGATGTCGTCGTCGGATGCGGATTAGTCCATATGGATCTTTACGACAACGCAAGTAATATATGGCTCAAGCATCCTTAGAAGTTATTTCCGCGGCTACATATAACGACTCATCATCATAAACGGAAGTAGACCAGCCATTTGAATTGACGCTTCGCTGTCATACAAGCCCGAGGACCTACGGACGGAAGAACATTAAAAAGGGACAGAGGGGGTCTAGCGAAAATTTTAATGCTTTAAATAAGCACTTAGAGTCATGGGGCCCACACCTGGTGTTAACAATATAGCACTGCAAACGGTTGACTATTGTGAAAAAATTAGGCGGCATTGACGAGACGGCTTCCATGCAGCTTTCACTGTCCCGTGTCAAATCAGCCATTACCTCACAGACAACTAGGTACCAAACATACTTTAGACAAACAGTCCGCTAGGAGACGATAGCAGTCATGTCATTGGTGCCGAATTTGAGCCTTGTCCTGCAAAGTCACGAATCAAGGACAAAGCCGGTCACGTGGACTCAAGGCTGCAATGCGAGACGGACGCCGTCAGTCACATCATTTCTCGCTGCCAGGTCAATTTTTGTCCAACAGAGTCCTTGCGTAACCTTACATCTTGCAAACATAAAGAGCCATCCTCGGTAAGCGGTAACCAGTCACATGTAGTATGTGCCCAAGCCAACGCAACTTATACGGTGCTAACTGCTGTTCTTAGGAAGTAGTATGATTATCACCGCCTAACGCTTGCATACGCACATCAGGTTTGCGGACACGCTGCTGCCACCCGGCACCAGCAATGCTCCACAAACAAAGATGATCAAAAGCTTGAAGGCGCCTTAGCTCTTCAGATCGAGGGGACGAAGTATCACTCTCATAGAATTGAACGGCCTTCAGATGGCAGATGAACTGGTCTCTGAGTTTGGCAATTTGGTTGCAAGCGTTTCGTCACTAATCGAGGTGACATCATCAGTTCGTTGTTGAGTAGCCTACAGCCAATAGCGCATCGTAGGGAAGCCTAGGTGAGAGTGTGGCATTTTAAACACGGCCTTTCAGACCGAGGTAACGTCGTTCTGACGCGACAGATGCCCCAGATTCAAAACGGTAGCTCCAGCTTTTGCAGTACCTGAACTGACTTCAGTTTCTACGCGCCCATCAATGCTGATGCAGGTGTCAAGGTAATTGAAGTGATCAACTACCTCGAGTTGCTTGCCATCAAAAGTCAAGTGGCTATCAATTGGCTAGTGGTGTTGTTACATCACTTTGGATTTTGGAGGCACCATGTGCATGTCGAATGATAGGGACAATTCAGAGGGGTTATTTAGGGTTAACTGAGCCGCTTCAACATCATTAAAAAATTAAGATAATATTATCCGAATAATCAAGATTAACTAACTTTCCACCAGACAGCACCTCAGCGCCAGCATCGTTAGACTCCGTAACATGGCATGGTGGAGTCCGCGACGAAGTTGAACAAAAATGGGAAAATCGGACAACCCACACGAACGCCAGTTGTTGTCAGAAAGGTATTCGATAAATCACCGTAAACCCTGACGCGGTCTATGGTGGTCGAGTAGAGGGGACGTAAAATCTCCACATATTTCATGGGAACCTCTTTCCACGCAAGTACCTCAAACATCATCATCATCAACAGCAGTACATCAGCCAGTTGAAATGATGCTTCGCTGCCATACAACCATGAGAACCTATGAAATAAAGAATAAGAAGAGGGAGAGAAGGGGGACTTACCTGAAAACCTTAATGCCCTAAGCAAACATTCAGGGTCAAAGCGCCTACACCTTGTGTAGACAACATACCGTCACAAACAGCTGGCTATCGTGCAAAGATAAGGCGGCATCGGCGAGACAGCTTCATTGCGGCTTTCACTGCCCCGCGTCATAATCAGCCATTACCCCGCAGATAACTCAGCACCAAACACACTTTAAACAGACAATCCGATTAGGAGACGGCAGCAGACGCGCCACTGGTGTCGGTTGTGAGCCATATCCTGTAAAGTCTCGAGCCAAGCACAAGGTGAGTCACGTGGACTCCAACCCGGAAGGCGAGACGGACCAACGGCACCCAGTTTGGTCGTCATTGACTTCATTTCTCGCTGCCAAGTCAACTTCCGTCCACCTCGAGCCTTGCGCCATCCGACACCTGGTAGACTGAACAAGGCCCTCCTAGGTAAGCGGTGATCAGTCAAGCGTAGCACGTGCCCGAGCCAACGTAACTTATTCAGTGATATCTGTTGTTCTAGGGAGCTAGCATGATCATGGCCACCTAGTACTCTCCTACGCACATCATCGTTGCGGACACGCTGGTGCCATCCGACACCAGCAATGCTTTGTAGACAAGGATGATCAAAGACTTGAAGGCGCCTCAGATCTTCAGACCGAAGGGGCCAAGTTTCACTACCATAGAGCAGAACGGCCCTCACTGTGGCCTTGTATACACGGCCTTTCAGACGGAGGGAAACTCCCTTCTGTCGCCAAAGATGACGCAGGTTCAAGAAGGCAGCTCTGGCTTTTGCAATGCGTGAGCTCACGTCAGTTTCTATGCGCCCATCATTGCTGATGCAGCTTCCAAGGTAAGTGAATTGATCAACCACATCGAGTTCCTCGTTAGCAAGTGTCAAGGGGTCATCAAGTGGCTGGTGGTCCTGCAGCAACACTTTGCACTTTGAAGGTGCCAAGTGCATACCAAATAATGGGACCACTCTGGATAGGCTATTCAGGGTTGATTGTGCCGCCTCAACATTGTCGAAAAGCAAGACGATATCGTCCGCATAATCTAGATCAACTAACCGTTCACCAGGCAGCACTTCAACACCTACATCGTGAGATTCCGCAAGGGAACACTCCATGATAGAATCCACGACGAAATTGAACAAAAATGGGGAAATCGGGCAACCCTGTCGAACGCCACTTGTAGTCGAAAAGCTATCCGATAGGGCACCATAGACCCTGACGCGGCCTCTAGTGTTCGAGTATAGAGCACGAAGCACGTTCACATATTTCGTGGGAACACATTTCCGCGCAAGTATTTCGAACAGACTCGATCGATCGACTGAATCGAACGCACTCTTGAAATCAAGGAACACAGCTATTGTCGGTCTGCGGTATGCGTGGCGCTGCTCTAGCACCTGACGCAAAGTGAATATATGGTCTATACAGCCACGTCCTGGGCGAAAACCGGCCTGCTCTTCCCTAATCCGAGATTCCCGTTCTGCAGTGAGGCGACGAACGATAATCGAGACCAGTAGTTTTGTCACAACTGGCGTTAGGCTAATACCCCTGTGGTTCGCACAGTCTGTGCGACTGCCCTTCTTGTATATTGCCACTATAATCGATTCGTTCCAATTAGCTGGCACACTCTCTTCGTTCCAGATACGTTCGAATAGGGAGGTCAGTGCCCTGCAGAGGACCTCACCTCCATCCTTAAATAGTGCAGGTGGCAGGGAATCCGGGCCAGCGGCACGAAAACGATTGAGGGCTGTGATCGCGTTTCGGACCTCGGCCTCCAAAGGAGGCTCTAAACCAACCGTCCATGGCTCGTCCTGCATCACCTGAGTGGGAAGAGGTCCGGGAGCAGGAGGCCAGCTGAACTGATCTTGAAAGTGTTCAGTCCAACGAGCCATACGGCGCTCCTTATTGTGTATCAGCGCACCCGCGCTGTCCCTGATTGTCTCACTGACGCATGGTTTTCTCGGACCAGTGGTGCGTATTAGCTGGAAGAGCTTCCGAAAATTGCCTACTGCTCCTGCCTCCTCCATTTCTTGAGCCCGACTGGTCCACCAGGCTTCCTTTTCAACACGTAGGCTCCGCTTTAGTTCACGCCTAATAGCCCGTCTGGTCACATTGTGTTCAGAACCAGCCGGGAGGTGCCTTCTAGCTTCCAAGAGGTTCACGGACCTCTCGGATATCCAGTGACTGGTGCGATGACGACTGATAGTGCCACAAGCAGATGCTCCTGCGTCGTGCATGGCGGTCGAGATCCTATTCCACTGAAGTTCAGTGTCATTAGGACAAGACTGCGAGAGTTCGCTATGCAGTGCTTCTTGATAGGCTTGC